CCCCAACAGATGGGAAGATTTCTGGGGGAGGTGGACGGTGCTCTCATGACCCAGCTGCTCAGCACGGGGGCGTTCAGCCAGTAAGTGGGACGTGTTTCTCCCCCATCTGAATACTCACAGAAAAGGCAGGATCTGGTGCAGATCTCGGGATCCTGACCTCAAAAACCCAGAGTGAAAGCCCCAAAATGTTCCTATGCAACTTTTCTGAAGCCAGGGATTTGACAGGAGGTGGTGAGGGACATAAGGACATGTGGGTCCCTAGAAGGAAAACCAATTTGCTATTCATTTCTTTAAAGCAAAGTACAGAAACGTAATTTTTGGCGTCTCTCTTCTGATCTGCCCATCCTAACTCCTGAACTGTCAGGAATCTGGGTGAATAAAACTTGGCAGCAGACCCTCCTGGGGCAGGGGCAGAGGCAGGGGAGGGTCCAGACACCATATTCTGCCTCTGGCTTTCAGAGTGACCATGTACGACTACCAGGCCATGTGCAAGCCCCCGAGTCACCACCACAGCGCCGCCCGGCCCCTGGTCAGTGTGAGTGTCACCCCAGACCCCCTCCACCAGACAGCAAGCCCCCACCTCCCCTGAAATGAAGTTACTAGGTCCCTGGTTTCATCCAGCCTCAAGCACCTGGCCTCGGGGTCCCTCTTGACTCTGACCAAAAAGTCCACTCCCGATTTTGCCTCCCCCTATCCCAGCCCTGCAGGGCTTGTCTGCGGGTCCTCTGGCAGAGTAGTGTGGTCACACAGATCGTCAGGGCCCTAGAAGCATCACCAAGAGGCTCCTCAGGACGAGGTGCTGCTTGACCTTCTTGATGGGCATATCTAACCCAGGCTATCTGGCCTGCATACGAGTTTCTCAGATAGCCAGCTTTCCAGGCTTCCCCAGCTGGGAAGGGGTGGGAGGGCAGCCGGAGGGGGTGTCCCGGGGTTGTGGTCTAATTCATCACTGCTCCCCAGCCTGGGGCTAACAGTTTGTCCCCCTTCTTCCCAGCCCATCTCTGCCCTCCTGACTGCGACCAGATGGCTGGTGAATGAACTCTTGCTGTGAGTGGGGGGCTGGAGGGGGTGCTTCACACAGATGTGTCTTCTGAGGGGCCCCAGAGGAGGAGGGAAGGTCCAGGAGGAACTGTCCTCTGTGTATGGGGCCTCCTCCTTCCTGCTGCTGCCAGGGCCGCCTCTCTGCTCACCCAGAGACCCTCAGGCAGGGGAGAGGATGTCCTAGAGAGCAGGGCTGGACCTGGGGCCAGCTGGGGGCTCTGGTGCCCCAGCGCTCAGGTCTCAGAGAGAGTCGGTGCTTCGTCCGACAGCTTCCTGCTGGAGTGGAGTGCCTGGGGCTCCCGGCATGCAGACCGCGGGGCTGAGGGTGAGTCCGTGCGGCTGCATAACCGTGTGTTTGGGATCAGTGCCATTTCAGTCAGCTAACTGGAAACCTACCCCCTCTGGGTGGGTGACAGAGGGGACGGGCTCTGGACAGTTCATTGCTCGCATCTCATCCTGCTTGGTTTCTCTCATCACCTTCCCCTCACTCCTGGCTCCCCTCACCTCTGTGTGGCATCACACCATCTTGGGCCGCCACTGCTCCATGTGACATCATTCATCCCATGTGACATCACCACCGTGTGACATCCTGACCTCGTGTGACATTATGCCTGCCCTGTGCTGGGCCTCATGTCCTGGGCAGCCAAAGCTGTCTTCCATCACTGTAAGTAGCGCCTACTGCAGAGCCGAGCCGGGTGGGCAGGTGGGGAGAGCACGGAGCTGCACAGGGCTCGCCCTGAACTCTCCGCTAAAGGGGCGCATTTGAGAGGGCTGAGCTGTCCCCATCCCTAAGCACCCGACTCAGGGGACCTCCCAGCATAAAGCCCCATTCCTTAGGGGTGCACTGACCTCATCCCACCCAGGACAGTCCTGCCCCAGGGAAGACGGAAGTTCAGCTGTCTCCTCAGGTGAGAATGTTTACAATTCCAAGAGGAAAGGGTTATGTGGTCCAGTGGCTGTGACCACATGCAGCTGAGCAGCCACCAGGTTGCCCTGTGGCACACGGACAGTGGTGCCTCCAGCTCAAGTGTCCCCTGAACCCTCAGCTCAGGGTTGAGGGGGTGGCAGGCAGAGGCCTCATCTAACCACTGGGACACGCCTGGGATAATATATCTCCAGAGGATCTTCTGAGGACAGTGTGTCCCCAAAAGGTCTGACCACAAATCAGAAATGTCCTGTCAGCCAGCAGTGACTCGAGTGAGGCCACCTGGTCTTTACCTGCAAAGGGACATGGTCACTTCCAGCCCCTGGGTGGTCCCCGGCTCCTACCTCACAAGACTGTGGCCTTAGCCGGTTTTGCTCAGCCCCTGTGCGCTAACCCTTTCCCTGGTGTTCTGCAACTTCTCCATGGCCTGGGCTGCACACCCCACCCCTTCTTTTCCACAGTTTGGCTTCCTGATGAAAAAATCATTCGCACTGTTGTCCTCTCTCTGGCCTGCTTCACACCTCCTCTGCCTGCTCCCACCGCTGGCCTGCTGGGGGTGCTCGGAGCCCCAGCTCACGCAGCCAACCCCTGGCATGTTTATAGACTCCTTTTGGAAATCACACCCCACAGTCTTCACAGGACTGCTCTGGGGACAGTTCAGTCTCTGGGTGTTTGTGACAAGAACCAGGAACTAGGTGTCACTACCTATTTAGAAACAGGTCCCTCCCCCCCTCTGCATGGGAACACAGGGTCTCTGCCAGCAGCTGCGTCTTACAAAACCCGAGAGTGACCGCCCTAATTCCACCTGTTTAGAATTTCCCTCTTCAGGCCCCTGCCATGGAGCTCTTTCCTTCCCTGCCCAGCAGGCCTGGTTCGGCCAGTCACAGCCATGTCCTTGGGGAAAGAGCACTGGGCTTAGAGTCCAAGGGCCTAGACAGGGTGCAGCTGTGTGACCTTGGGGAGGCCACTTGCCTATTGTTTGCATGGTCATTCTTGTTATCACTGAGGTGACTCACCCATACAAAGTGGCTCAGCTGACAGGGCAGACAGGCCAGACTGAACCAACCCCACCGGGTGTGAGGCCAGTGTAACTAGGCCCGGAAGGAGAGGAGCCAGGTCTCGAGCCTCTGGAGGCTTTAGCCAGGGCATCCAGTCTGGAATCCCAAGGGGCCCTGGAGAGCAAAACTGCTCAGCAGCCACCCTTGAAGGTCAGTGTGACCATGGCTGAGACCTGACCATGAGTGTAGAGCCCACGCAGAACGCCATGGTTGTTCCTCTAAGCTGGGACAGCTCTGCCTGCAGACTGGCCTCCCCTTTCATCAAGGTCTGGTGGGGGTTTCTGGGTCTGGTTGGTAAGGAGGCCTATATAGCTCCCCTACTTACCTTTGTGTGGCCCTGTAAAAGGTCACATTTCCACAATGTGGGATAGGACCTGCCCTGCCTATTTCACAGATAGGCTCTGAGAACAAAAGGAGAGGCGTGGAAAGTGTCTTGAAGAAATAGAGAGAGTACTGTAGTAACAAATGACACTGCTATTTTGAACAAAAACAATGACCTTCAGCCCGTAAGCTGGCCCTGTTTGCTTTTTGCTTGCTCACCTCAGGAGCAAACATGGGCCATCCAGGGCAGGCTGCCAGGGACTCTACTTTTCTTGTGCTGAGTCCTTTCCGAGTGAACTCAAATGCACCATAAAGATGCACTGAGGCCCCTGCCCAGCCGGGAGCTGGCCCTCGCTGCTCTGCTCTCTCACCATCAGCAGGGACAGGGGAGCAGCCCTGGGGCTCGTCCAGGCCCTGCACTTGCAGAGCAACCTTAGTTGGACTGAGAAAATGTCACCTGTCCATGCTGAATTGGAGGGTCATGGGGTGAAGGGACTAATGTCTGCCCGAGCCACACCTGGGCACTCTGATCACCTCTGCTTTCCTCTCAGACTCTGCACATCAAAATTCAAAGGAGCCTTCGAGAATGCGCCCTCCTTCCTCCCCCAGCCCCAGCTTACAATGAGGGTTCAGGCTCCCTTAGGCAGGAAGCGGCTTTTCCAAGATCAGGGGGCTAGTGTGTCAATCACACATCATTGACCCCCAGGGCACCCTGAGGCCCAGTCTGCTGCCCTTTCCACTGTGGGCCACTCCACTCCTTTGATTCCGTTCCTTTTGCCTCTCTATTTTTCTCCCACCCCACCCCTCCATTGCATGTTCTGAGAGCTTTCTGACAAGGGAGCCATCTGCAAGCGGACTGGGGGCATTTCACTGTGTAGCTGCCACACCGGCCCTGGAAGTGTTGAAGCCAAGATCCCTGCAGGCATGACATCTATGGCCCTTCCGATTTGAAGATGCCCTTTCTCCCATCCGCACCTCTGTCTCCCCGCAGCCCACAAGCACAAGAAACAGGACATGCTGCAGCCCTGCGACACGGAGTACCCCGTGTTTGTGCACCAGAGGGCCATCCAGGAGGCCAACGGGATCATCGAGTGTGGGGCCTGCCAGAAGTAAGACCTGAGGCAGCTCTTCCTGTCCCCAGTCTCAGGGCAGGGCTTGGTCAATCACAGGAAGGCGACTCTAAATGGGGAGGAAGAAGGGGGTGCTCTAAATGAAAGGTCACGCTCCGAGGTCTTTGTTTCCCACTCTCCTTAGTGAAAGAAACACAAGCCCAGGCAGAGGGTATGAGGGAGGAGGCCAGTTGGGGACAGTGGGCAGTCTGCTGTGCTACGTTAGGTGGGCTAGGAAACGGTGGTCCTGAGGCCAAATCCTCGTCAGCAAGCCCACCCCCACGCCAGGCCCCAAAGCCATCCCAGACAGAGGAAAATGATCCCACAATTCAATGTCTGCTTCACTCATGCCCGCGTAGCAGCTCAGTGTCAGGGCCTGCAAGCTGAACTCCACGGTGAGACCTTGGAAGGCAAGGGTAGATTTGAGGAGAGAAACAAGCCAGCTCTCCAGTTTTCTTGGGACTATTGTTACTTGTGCACTTAGCTCAAAGGCTTGTTGTGAGGATGAAGTAAATGGTATGGTGCAAAACAAAGACTTTAGGGCGGACTTGAGTTTAAAAGGTGGCTCTGCTACTTCCTAGCTGTGTAACCTTGAGCAAGTTACTTAGCCAATTCTAGCCTCAGTTTTCTCATCTACAAAATGGAAATAACCACCTCATGCAGTGTGGTGAAGCTATGTACACATACACATATGTGTGGGGAGGTGCATAAAGCCAACCATCCCAGAGGAAGTGCTCGGCGAGGGGCAGCTGTTATGTAATACACCCAACCATGCGCACAACAGGCTTCTGCGGTCCTTCACTCCCTCCCTCTTCTCGGGACTCCTGGGCAGTATGCAGGGGCACTGTGCCACCTAGTGGCCCAGGCTGGGCATTGCATCTTCCCCCACCCATGGCCTGCCCCCACCGCATTCGCCCAAAGCAAGGATAGCCACATATCCCTATTTGCTTGTCACAGTCCTCATTTATGCCTGTTGTCCTTGCATATATTAATAATAACTCCTTTCACTCTCAAAATTTTTACAGTTTGGACTTCCTCCCCTTCTCCAATCTGCTAGGAAAGGAGCATTTGCAAAGGCTTGAGGGTAAAATAAGCCAATAGGACTGAGTCAGTTGCCCAGAGCTGTTCCTGTATCTACCCTGATCTGACCTTCCTCTTGGCTCCATTTCTTCCCCTGCTACCCTAACTCTATACTCGAAGTCTCCAGTGGGGCCCCCGCAGAAGCCCAATGTCAAGCCTTCCATGGATTCCATGGCCCCTCCTCTCTCTTTGCTGCAGGATATTTGTGATGCAACAGATTCCCAATAGTAACCTTCTCCTCCTGGTGACAGACCCCACCTGTGACTGCAGCATCTTCCCGCTAGTCCTGCAGGAGGCTGCAGAAGTCAAATATATCCTTCCAATCTTCCAGGATGTGAGGGATGAGAGTGCAGGAGAGATTGAGGGGTTCAGATTTTGAGGCTGAGGCCAACCTCCCTCAACACCACCATCCCACTCTCCCCTACAAAGCATCATTATTTGTTCTCCAGCCCTTCTCCAGGCCCCTGGGTGCTGCCTCCTGACCCACAACTTAGTCTCCAGAATCAGCTCCTGTCAT